CTTCAGGCTCTAGTTCATTCCGAGCATTCTCATCCAGTAGTTGTTTCGGAATCTGTCATGTGTTGGTGAGAAGGTCTGACTCATGCTCTCTGTCTGCTTCTAGCGTATGAAGCGATCATGAAGGAATCTGGGCTAAGTCTTCTGGAAAGCAAACACTTGGCTAAGAGAGCCAAGCACAACCACAACAATGATGACGTGTAAAAAAAAAAAAAAAAACTCAACTTCAACACATTTTGCACCATGCTTGCATTTCAAAACGTTTCTAACGCCACGCTAATGTGTTTTCACAGAGAGACCAGCAGCAGCTCAGAGGGGTTGTCTGACAACGAACTGGGAAACACTGTAAGATGTCATGTTCCATAGGATGTTAGATGTGATCACAAATAGAGATTTATTATAGTAGCGCAACCTGTTACCACTTGATCGATTGGGATCCATTAAGCAAACACAAATGTACACATTGTTAGGTATTGGCAGGAATAAACATTAAAAAATGATGTCGTTTGGAAAATAAAGTTTATTATATAGTATATTGGCAGAAACCTATAAACATTAAAAAATTATGTTGTTTGGAAAATAAAGTTTATTATATAGTTTACTTTTTTTTTTGGATGTTCAATCCTGACATTTTGACAAATATCGGTCCTGAGTATCGGATCAAGTCCTTCCTGGTTTTGAGACCAATAATTCTTCATAATCAACTCAAACAACAACAATTTTCAGAATGATGTATGTACTACTGCTTCTTTCCTCCTCAGCCCACCAATCACATGAACAGCTCTCTGGCTTCATTGTATCGAAAAGGAAATCCTGACTCTTCTGCCAGTTCTCCCAGGAGAGAGCAGCCTGCTGCAAACAGTCCTGTCAGTGTTGTCCCCACCGCTTCCAGTGCAGGAACAGCTGTCTCCACCGGAGGCTGGTTTATTGATAAAGGTCCACGACATGAGAAGAACAATGTCATCGACCTGTGTGACGACCAGCCAATTAATACAATGGCAAATGTAAGACAGGTGACACATACGGGAAAACAGCAAGTTTTGAAAGCCAGGCATTGGGTTTTAATAATCTTGCTTAAGAAAATACTGTATATACAATTCTAAACCAGAATAGCTGGATCCCTCAGAGCAGGGATGTCAAATTCACAATGGGCCAAAATTAAAAACTAGGACAAAGTCAGGGACCAAACTTAATATTTATTAAGAACAATTGAAGGCAATTGTGCATATTTTCCCTTCTCCCCAGATATGTAATGTAAAATTTTGTCATATGGAAACAAACTTTAGTTTTGCTTAAATGAATCTGGACCAACCGACGCTTAATATTATAAACACATGACAAATTAAATTAGAAATAAAGCACACATCACCAGTATTTGTTTCTTATTATGTCTCTATCTGTAGCCTTTCAAGTTTCTTTTTAATGTTAATCTTTTTTTCATAGGCCAACAACGATCGCATTCATTTCAGCAACACTAACAAACTGTTTTTTGACATCTGGTCCAATGTCCTCTGCGTTTTCTCAGTCGACAGATGTGTCCATGTTGGAGCCTGAGAAATCCCATCGAAAGTCCAAGAAAAAAACAGAAACTTCCACTGAAGCTGCAGAGCCCCTCGTCAAGAAAGGTGCGTTTGAATATATTTTGCAATTCTTCAGTCAAATCAAACTCCTTAAAAGTAAAAAAGTAAAAAGTATCTTTACTTTGTTTAAATTCTACACAAGCAAAATACCCATCTCAAAATCTGCTTTATTAAAAATAAAAACACATTTTTTTTTATTTTTAATTTAAAATGTACTTAGTTACTTTGTAACAGTTACTCAGTTACTTTATATTACTTGATTAAGAAAAAAGGCCAAATCATACGTCCAATCTGCAATTCATGCCCCCACCCGACCCACACCCCTGCGAAATTGAAATACTATTGAGAACCTGATAACGGTATATTTTTATTTATACAAACCACTGTATGAGTTGCTGCCACCTAGTGACTGGAGGCTTCAAGTATTTCAAGTATTAAGTATCGAGTATCATTCAAGTATTATAGCTAGTGGTACACCTATGTCCAGCGTGCCATATTCAATTGAAAGCCCCCTCACGCAAGAGTGATAGACAAGAGAGAGACATTTTTCAAATTCACAAGTAAAACTGGTTTTATATCAAGTCAAATCCTTCACCTCCTGTAGACTTTCATGGATATAAGTTATACATTTTGCCTGACACAAGGAGAGCATAGTTAAAGATGAATACATTCAGAAATGTATTAAATTTATATTTTTGTCTAGGCATACCTTGCTTGTTGAAAATCTGCAGTATTGACTCCATTTTCTCTCTCTGATGAACTCTTTCAGCAAAGTCAAAGTCACGAGAGCTGCAGTATCCAACTCTGAAGTTCGAGGATGTAGGAGGCAGTGATGACACGTTGACGGCAAGTACATTTTTTTTTAACTTTGACTTTATTCTTTTTCGTGCTATGATAATTTAACCCTTACAGTTAATGGCTAAAAAAAAAAACCTACCACATGGAGCCAATCATCAGTTACCAGGCATGAAATATTCAATTTGAAACAGAGATTTAGTTTTATTTACCTATATCAACTACAGTACCTTGTCTACGATGACAGCATTTTCATATTCTACAGAGTTGTGAAGATATGTTTAATTTATTTTTATGTATTTTTTTTCTTGCATGACACAACTTTAGGAAGTGTGTAAGCTACTGATCCACATGCGTCACCCAGAAGTGTACAAGCATCTGGGAATAGTTCCTCCTAGAGGATTCCTTCTCCATGGACCTCCTGGCTGTGGAAAGACCCTGTTGGCTCAGGCAGTGGCTGGTGTGAGTGCTGCCACTTTTTTTTTCCCCAACAGGAGTGCTATGGAATATCTGTCTTCTAAACACAATTTCCATAATATTGTAATCAAAGTGTTTGTTTTTTTTTATGTTTTGTTAAGTAAGTCGTTAAGCTGTGAAAAAATAGCTCTCTCTTGGTATTTTAATAATAATAATAATAAATTTTATTTAAAAAGCGCCTTTCAGGACACTCAAGGACACTTTACATCAAATAATAAAACAGATAATAATTTAAAACAGGGCATAGAAATAAAATAAAGAACAGATAATAATTTAAAACAGGGCATAGAAACATGTTTAAAATCAGTGATAAACAAAAGCACAGAGGAGGGAGGTTAGAGGGAGTATGCTGTCCGGAACAGGTGTGTTTTGAGGTGAGTTTTGAAGGTGGGGAGAGAGACACAGTTACGGAGGTCGGGTGGTAATGCGTGCCAGAGATGGGGAGCAGAGCGACTGAATGCTCTGGCTCCCATAGTACTAAGGCGGGCGGGTGGGACGGAGAGGTGGATGGAGGAGGAGGATCTGAGGGACCGAGTGGGGGTTAAGACGTGGAGGAGGTCAGATAGGT